CAACAATTGGCTTATTAATTAACTTAAATTTTTTGTAATTCAAGTGGTCTTTTATCGTTGCTTTTGCATCCATAGGTAGTCTGTAGATTAAGTTAGACTTATTGTCTTCTAATTTTAGTTCATTTGTAGTGAGTACGTTTTAGTTGAATCTATGTAGAGTTGATTTTTGATCTTTGATTTGCTTTACTTTTAGTTTACCACATTTAATCTAAGATTTTCATTTCAAATGTAAGCGTGCAGAATTTGGTCTTCCTTTGGTCACGTTAGTTCACTAGGACGTAAACTCTACACGGCTGACGTCATTTCCTTTTTTCTTATCAGCTTGGCTGAAAAAAAAAAACAGAATAAATGGTTTTCATCTGGAAGCATAAAATAATGCAAAGATTATGTTTCAGTCGCAAATTCTCTGATAAAATTGTGAAAAGCAGTTTCACAGTGGAAACATTGACTCCTGTGAGAAGATGGGTGTTTCTGTTCTTTGTAAGAGAACAAAGAAAAAGCCTGAAGGCTTTTCAGTTTTAGCATAACTCTCCACCTGTCGCCTCGCGTTTAGCCTCATTGTTGTGATCTGTTCATCCGCTCCATGCGCGACCTGGTCCACTTGCCTTGGCTCCATTTTGTTCAGCCTGATTTGCGAAGCATCCGAGTCCATCAGCCTTTCTGTAAAGTACGTGTCAAGTTTTTGCATCTTTATTGACTTTTGTCAATGCTGCTATGATGTGCAGGAGAGCATGAACCTATGACGGACTATATGGCTTGATAGGAAAACAATTATGCATTATGCTTACCGAAGTCTGCTTTTCTGTCAGTTGATATGCATCGGTAAGTAAAACAGGTTTCTTTCTGGAAGTTTCTAACAGTGGGGAGGTTCCTGTTGTTCACCGCGAACATGCAGACGTCACCTTGTTTATTTTCATGGAACTGTTTACATCCATCGCTGCCATGATTTTTAATGACTTGTCTCATAAACAAGCTTATTCATAGGAGATTTTACTTTTATTTCTTATTAAACTTGTAGTGTTGTTTTTTTTTTGTTTTTTACATTAGCAGAATATAGACAAAGATTTGCACACATTTGCAATGGAAACTCTGCTATTTTGAGTTTCTTTGAACTTATTTTGTACACGGAATGTCCCCCATCCACATTTTTGTCACACCTGCAGGCTCGGTTTCTGCATCATGTCTGCATGTTAGAGTGCTACGCTCTAGGGTTTTTACCATCCCAATGATCTTCTGTACGTTCAGTACATTCTACTGTTGATATTCAGTTACTCTGCAAGTACCGACTGGCCTCAGTAATTCGCTGTCGGGATTAGTCAGACGGCCTTGTAGTAATATTTCCATCCGCATCTCATACAGTTCACATTGACCCAATTCAATAAACATGTTTTCTCCCGGCAGAAAAAGTCCGGAGAGACTTTGATTAGACCTTTTAAGGGCTTTACTGCTTTCTTTTTTTTTTTTTTATTTGCTAAACTCACCCAAATTCCTGGAAGCATTCCTCTGCCTCATGCTAATGTTAATTAGTTGATCGTCACCACAACATTTCTGCCTCATCAGTGCAGTGTTTATGAGTGTGTGTGTGTCTGTGTTCTTTTGTTGTAGTGTCTTAACTTGATCCAGATGTTTACGGGGTTTTATACCAGGTCACGCTTCTTGCCACACATCCTCTGACTTGATACTCCGGCATGTGCGTTGTAAATATGCCCTCACGCAACACCAGCAGGAAAATGCAGTTGCGCGTATCTCGTCTGTGTCCACATCAACATGTTGACGTAAGAGCGCCAGGAGAATATTTTCTGTGTTTTTTGTTGTTGTTGCTCAATGTCCAGGCTGGACAAAGACGAATATCTCTCGGCTTCCGTTGTGCTTTTGTTGGCAAGATCTGCACTCCCTCATGCAATTTAAAGAAAACTATAATTCATTTATGACAACCACGTTTGTAAAGCCACACAAAATCATTGTCTATATTTCAGTTAAGTCATTAAAACGCATATATACTTTTTTTATATATACATATATAGAAATATTTTACTGATGGTGCTGGGATTTCATTTTATATTCATATTATTTTTGTAAAAACATTACAACTATTGAAAATAAATGTCCAACATGGCTACGTGTGTGTTTTTATCTCATTGTCCACCTGCTGTGTTTGGTTAGGACTTCTTTTGTTACATATATAAATATCTCACACTGAAGTCGTGCAGTTTATTGAAAAAGTTTTTAACTTTAATTTTAAGGCGGTTCACATGTCCGCTGTGAATCATGGTAGTGGCAGCATCATGCAGACGCTGCAAAAGACTGAGACGGACCCTGAGACATTTGAACCTCTACATTAAATTATATCTATGCTTTTGAAAGTCCAGATCCAAAGCATTGTTGAGAATCTGTGGCGAAACCTTTACGTTTGTTTCAAAGATGCTCTCCTTCCTCTCTGACTGAGTTTGACAGGTTTTGTGAAAAAAAGAATTACCAAATTTCTTTCAGTGAATTCATGTGCTAAGCTGGTATAAACGCCCCTCCAAAATAAACAAAAGAAAAACAAGTTGTCGTTGTAACTGCAGCAGCAGATGATTCAGCAGGGGGGGGGAGGTGTTGAATTCAAACGCACGACAATGTTTTGAAGTTTTTATTGGTAAGGCAAATGAAAACCGGTTCCATTTCGCTTTCCTTCCACGTTGCAGTTTGACTTTACGTTGGTCTGTCACATAAAATCTGCATAAAATGAACGAAAACTTCTGGTTGGTAAATTTTAATGTTTGAATCTTTTTTTTTTTTTTAATGACATGTTGCAACAAAACAAACGCACAGCTCGGTGAAAACAATAACTTTATTATCTAATAAGAAACACTGAGGATGACAAAGAACTTTAAAATGTCTGTGATCTGTTATTCAGTCCATGATGTTCAGCCAGTCTCAACTATTTTGGGTTTTGTTCTCGTTTCAGTCAAATTTGGTTCTGAATCCAGATGCGGTTGGATTAGTTATAATATGTATGATCAAACTATTATTACAGTCCAGATTAAACCATTTAACCATTTAGTTTAGTTTTGGATAACGGTGATAACTGTCATGCCCTGCGACAGACTGGCGACCTGTCCAGGATGAACCCCGCCTCTCGCCCGGAACGTTAGCTGGAGATAGGCACCAGCACCCCTCCCGACCCCACTGAGGGACAAGGGTGTTCAGAAAATGGATGGATGGATGGATGGATGATAACTGTCATAAACTAAAGATTTTTGTTTTTTGCTCTTGGCGCCCCCTTGTGACATAACACCCTGGGAAGACTGTATTTTAAAAGAAAAAACGCCACTCTCTAGCTATTGTTTTGGTTGGGTTGTTTTGTTTTTTTTAATGTCTTTCTCTTCTTGGGTTCTTTGCCTCTTTTTGCTGGTTTGGACTCGACTAACTCCCTCTCCATTGTTTTTCTTTCTTTTTCTCTCCACTCCACTCACCCTTCTGCAAACAACCCGTTATTTCTCCTCTCCGGTCCTCCTCCTTCTTTTTTCCATCTTGCCTCTACTTTCGCCTCTCCTGCTCTCTGCCTGCAGGAGTCGAGGCTTCGCACCATCCGGAAGGCGGCAGAGGCCAACGGGTTGCCTCTCATGAATCACGTGTCGGAGGATCACGCCGCCGCCTCAGACAGCTTCAATGATACGACCTGAAACGCCCCCTTAACCGTATCTACCGATGTTCGAATGCTTTGAAAGAAGATTGTGCGCCTCTGACGGGCAGACGGACATGAAATCCGAGTGATTCCAATACTTTTCTTAATAGACTTGAACTGCTTCTGAATGCGAGCTGCACTCCGGTTTTATCTCGGTCTTCAGAGAAGAAGCTCTCCACAAATCAGCACCAAGAACAGCATGATGGCGTGCAGAAGAAGGGAAAGGACTGTTACTAAGGTGGCCATTTTTGGAAAAGACCAATGCAATGTAAGCGCTGCCACACTGTGTGTGCAAAGGCTGCTACATCAACTCGTCAACCTCTCTTCCTGTAGCTTAGAAACATTATTGCTGAAGTGAAAAACAGTTTAACAGCTTAAAAACTGCTTTGAATTACTCTTTGTGGAACATTTAATACTTGCTCTCTCACGTTGATTTCATAAGTCGGAGCTCATGTAAAAGATAACATTTTCATCACATTGCAAAGAATCCAGATATAATTAGCCATTTTATGAAACACTTTTTTTTTCCCTCCATCGTTTCCCGCTTTTTCTACCAGAAGGCAGCTAAATGTTTGCGACGTAGCTTGGAGATGATGACGTCTGTTTGCACCAGAGATTATTTTATAAAGCAAGCCATTAACTGTAAATAGTTAACGTTGTAACTTATCACTTTTTTTGTGCCTAAAACTGTATTGAAACCGTCTCGTGCCGTGGCTGTTATTAATCTAACATTGATCCCGCAGAGGAAGGAATTCTCCTTTTTACTGTTTTTATTTTACAGCTTAAGAACTGGATTTGTTTGTTGGTGTTTTTTTTTAAATGGTTTAGTTTTTTTTTATTATTATTATTTGGGAGATTTTATCAGAATTAGACTCGCATATTTATCAGATTAAAATATTTTAGGAGCTACATTTTTAATTTTGTTTTAAACCATTTTTTTTTTATCCCAATACAGCACCTCGCAAAAGTATTCACACCCTCTGAATTTTCACACATTTTGTCACCTTACAAACACAAACTTCAGTGTGTTTTACTGGGATTTTATATGCTGCATCACCATAGAGTACTGCAAAATGACAATATGTTTTAAAAAATAACCAAGAAGTGCATTTGCATAGACTTTATGGAGCATGTTGGCTGCGTATGGCTTTCTTCTTGCAGCTGTTCAATAAAGGCTAACTAATTGTGACTTTTGAAGTGAAACGGTTGGATTTGATTTTGTTTGGGAGTTCAGATGGATGCCACAAATCTCATATTTTACTTCTTCTTGTCACATAATGTGACTTTATGTTGGATTCTCACACAGAATCCCAGTAAAATCTATGCTTTGTGGGTTTTATGTGGGAAAAGTTCAACGCCTGTGGATACTGTTGCAGTGTTTGAGTTTTAAAAACTGTTTTTATACATCAGGCTGGCTCGTGAAGGCCTCTGTGTGTTTTTCTTTTTCTAACAATTACCGCTGAAAGTTTTTGTTGCCCAATATGTCTCTGTACTTAAAACTTTTTTTAAGGGATAATTTGAGATGATCTGTTTTGTGCCAATATCCCAGAAGCTTCATTCAAAATCAAATTGATGTTCCTTTTACTTTATTTTATTTTTAGTATCAAGCTGTGCAGCAACCAGGACTAGAAATAAAGCAAATGAATGGTTAAGTACATTTAATATGAAGTGAAACTGACATTTACAAGCTAATACATCACAAATGTTCTACTTTTTACCATAGCTCTCATCGCCTTTGTTTCATTAGTGACGATATAAATCTGTCATTAAAAGCTTTAAATACATGTTTGTCTCTTTTCTTCAAATTCCAGTTTTTTTTTTTTCTTCAGTTGGCGTTGATTTCTGACTGGCGTCTGGGTTTCATGATGTCCTTCAGCTTCTGCAGGGATATTTTGCCTTCATGCGTTTCTTTCAGAGGAGCAGCCTCAGGCTCGGGGCTGGGCTCCTTTTTGCTTTCCGGAGAGAACGTCTTTTTGATCTTGTCTCCCACTCGAGCGAGCCCCTCTCTGTCCTTCTCCTTCTGTCCTTCTGAAGTGTTTGGGTCAGACTTCTTCCTCTCTTTGCTGAGCGAGAGGATCTTCGTCGACTTGGGCGCCTTCTTGTCTCGGGTCAGAGGTATCAAGGCAAACTTCTTCTTGGATTTCTTGTCCTTCTTCAACTTCTCCTGGTGAAGTTGTTTCAGAATGCTTTTCTTTTTGCTTTTCTTCTTCTTCTTTGGCAGCGCCCTCTTCAGTTCTCTGAAGGCATTGCTAAGAGGCGACTTCTTTTTCTTTTTCCAAAATAAGATTTTTTTCAGGGAGGAGTTGCCCATGTCTGTGGAATAAAAAATAAAAAAATCAGGTAAGTTGGGTATAATAATGAAAAAAAAACCACACACACATTGAAATAAACATATTGGGATATAATATATCAGCTTGGCCAATTATAATCTCTCTTCACATCTCAGACTGGACTTTACTTCGCTTGGATTCCCGCCAAAAGAATTTCAACGAGCCAATCAGCGAATAGAAGAAGTTGTGAATGATGACGTCAGTATACACACTAAACCGAACATCAATAGTTATAAACACAAATGCAACAAACAATTACAGAACATGGAAGCAGTAGTTTATAATGTTAAAAGTCAAATCGGTGCACGAGGGTTACAGGTATGATTTGTTACTGGTTTGAATTTAGTTTTAAGGATTCTATATAAATATTTGGAGATGATACCATCTGGAAAATATGCTTTTGTTGTAAATGTTTGGAGGTATGAATATATTTACGCTAAATGATAAAGTTAGCCCCATATACAAATTCTGTTTTAAGAGATCAAATAAAACATCCGTTTTGGTTGAAGTAATATTCAGATTATTTAGCTGGAAAAAAAAAAGACATTTCAGACGAGAATATTTCGGTATAGTAAAAATCGTTCTTTAAAGACGATTATTAGGCATTTCTTTGGGAGTAAATTTTAGGTTACCGCAATAGTGTCGAATTGGTGCATTACGTCACAACCAAACGATTAGTGATTGGGTCAAATTTAAAACCTCAACTGAGACCACGCCTCCAGGAAGCGATAGTGAGCTCAGACCTTATGTAAGAAGCAAATAGAGTAGGTTAAGGGGCTGGTTTCTTTACCAGGCTAATATATGTATTTGAACTAAAATCGAGAATGTTACAAGAAAAAAAAAATCAAACTTTCTTAAATTTTACATAAAGGTACATGAAGTAAACATTTAAAGCTTGCAAAAAAAGTGAGACAACTTTCAATTTAAGACTCAATTTACCATCCAAACACAAGAATAGCCACAGCGTTTTCTTAAACAAAACTGTTTCACATCAACTTGTTACAGAAGGATACCGACTCACCTCAGTCCGGTTAGCTGGTTTCCCTCCCTAGATCCTCCTGAGGTCAGCCTTTACACCTGTCTGAGTCTGACTATGCACTCATCAAGAATCGTTCAAAGATCCACCTTCTCTGTATCTGATGGAAAGATTGACCACGAGACACTTGACTTTATTTCCTTGATGTTTCCCCGCTCGCGGAGCGCTGACAGGAATCGAGAACAAACCAGTTCCTCTGCATTCTGCAGGGCTGATGCTGCTGTTTTCTGCTCTAAAGATACTGAAAGCGAATTTGGCCTCTAAATGGATGTGCACCTTACATATGAAGTAATGAACGGTGCCAAAATGCAATGGAGAAATGTGTTTTGTTGGGATTTTATGGTACAGTGGAATGACAATGAATGTTTTATTTTATTTTATTTTATTTTATTTCAAATAAAAAAAATAAAGTGTGACATGCATTTGTGTTCAGGCCCCCTTTACTCGGATACCAATAAATAATATCATGTTACCCCAGTTGCCTCCAAAAGTACCTGATTAGTGGTCAAAGTTTGTTCTCATGATACATTAATATGTTCAGTTCCACGTCGTATTGTTGCCAATGTAGGTAGAAAAAAAGAGTTTTGTGTCAGTAAAAATGAAGTTCTGACCCATTTACAGTCATGTGCAGCATACAGAACATCTCAGAAATGAATCTCAGAAATTATAAGGATGTTTTTAAGATTGAAAAGTTTAAAAATTTACTAGAAAAAAAACTTACATGTTTGGATTAATCTTTTTGTTTTTCAACCTCAGAGATGCGATTTTATTTCTAAAAACAAATTCTGAGATTTTTTTTTATTTTGCAGAAATATTCCTCTTCTTTTCTATGTCCAATGGCCCTAATATGCCGTCTTGGTTCTGTAAAAGTTATGTGAAGTTTATTTGAGAACCTTAAACATCATGGATAAAACGGGTCAGAGAAGAAGCTAGCTGTTTAAATGGGACACAATATTATGTTATGCTATTCAAAGTTTTGAACATCTCACAGAGCTCTGTTTAATCCATCAGCAAAAAAGAAAAACCCTTGAACTTTTTCACATTTTGTCTAATTCACGTGTTTTGAATGGATCTTATAGACTAAGGCATATTTGAAAAGTGACATCAAAATGTGTTTTTTTATTCTAAATGTAATAAAAATTATAAAAGTGTGTCGTTCACTCTTTATAGTAAGTAATTTTAAAGATCTCAACTGATTATGAATCGATTAGAAATCGTAGTGAATCAGGAAGATGTGTTTGATAAAGGGTGCCCTCTTGTGGAGAAATCGAGACACTGCTACGGGAATCTCCCCAATCCCAAATCTTTAAATTGTCACCGAGAGCGTTTATGTTTCGTATTTATTAAGAACACAAAAAAACAAAAACAAAGAAAGAATAAAAAGTGTCCGACTTGACGTCTATAAGCGTCAACGAAGCAAAAATAAAGGATTTGATGTAGATATTGAGCTTTGCTTGCTTTCTGTCAGAGATGTGACGTTTCGGGGGGGCGTGGAGCCTCATTGATTTAAGTGAATCGGTGTCTTTTCCACATATAGTGGTTATTAATAAATTCCAACGGTAAGTGACGTATACCAGCAAATTTCTTTAAAACATTTTTAGTTCTTAAGCTGTGAGAGGACGTGTTTGCATCACAGGGTCCTCCTTCATCACTCCTCCTCCACCTCCACCTCCTCCTCATCATCATCATCATCCTGCTGCTGCTGCTGCTGCTGCTCCTTCTTCCTCCACATCGCAGCCATGGTGGACTCTCCCAACGCCATGAAGAAAACCTTCACGGTGCCGGAGATCAAGCCGCTGGACAAGTACGACTTCGCCCGGGCCAGGATGTGCGCCAGCGTCCGGTGGCTGCTGTCCAAGTCGTACGGCTCTGCAGGTACGGGCTCCCCCATCACCGGGGGCGCCTCTTGGGGTGGGGCGCTTTAATGCCTGATCCCGCTATAGATGGAGCGCTGAGTTGTTGTTGCTGTTGTTGTTCTTCTGGGGAGGAAACCGTGAGCATCTTTTCGCTCAGCGTCCTCCTTAGTGAAGAAGCCCGGACTGACGCTGCTCCTGTCGCCGCGGCCTACCGGCGTTCCCCCCCCCCCTTCGGTAGATGGGGCGCTGAACTGCTGCAAGGCTTTCAGCCAATTATTAGACGTGAAAATAAGGCTTCTCAGGAGGAAATTCCTCCCGTGGTCCGTGATGCGTGAAGTAGCTGCACGGGCTGCAATGCAACAAAGCCCATTGTGAGAGTCAGTCCGTCAGGCCCGTGGAGCGTTTTTAATTTATTTATATTGAGTCAGTCCCAACAGAAGATGCTTTATTTCTGTCTGTCTCCGTTAGGAACCGGGTTTTGTGCGCTGCACATGGCTGTAAATGGGTCAGAGCTTCATAATTGTGTCAGTGTTACGCACGCACGCGGGGTTACTGCGGGAGCGCGTGCTGGTGTATAGTGAAGGTGACACGGTGAGAAAACGGAGTATTTATTTTTTTTTTAAGGAAATATCTGCTACAAAAATCAATTACCATAAATGCAAAAACGTCTATGGAGACACATTTTCGAAATCTGCATGTCACGTTCATTTGTTCTGCAAGATGCACGCGCGCAGAATAAAGCGCAGTCTGCTGCAGCCTCGTTTCATTCTGCCTTTCTGATGCTTGGATGACGTTTTTCTTCTTATCGATCGGGAACGTGGTATCGATCCGTCATTGGTTTTCATTTTAGGCTAATTTATTATCTGTCCATCCACCCTCCTCACCTGGAAGATGACCGAAAATCAGTTTTTCTTTTCATATTTTTCATTTGATTCATTTTTTAAATTTAATTCACTCAATAAATATGAATAGTATAACAAGTAAAAGAAATCATGAATTAACTTTTTATTAGCATAAAAAGACAATTAACTATTCAGCTCGGAAGACTTACAAAATACACAACTAAACGTAAGCTTATTCAACGCTAACCCTTCATCATAATGATTTTTCAAATGCTCTGTTAAATGCAGAAACAGATTTAGTTTTTTTTATCTCGCTAAGATTGTTCCATACACTGACATCTTTAATTGAAACACGTTTTTCTGTCCTTTCTGAATCTAATGTTTTAGTTTAAGCTATTAAACGAGTAGTGCTGATGACAAGTTTAATATCACGATAAATCACGATATGAGCGTTTCATATCACTCAATGTCAATAATTTTGGCGATATCAATAACTGAAATATTGCCAAAATTGTGGCATCGTCTTTCCTGTTTTATCCAGTTTTCTCTTCATACTGTTATTTTTATTATTACTATTTTGAAGCAGTTATGAGTAAAGGTGACAAAACCTGAAGCTGCTGCTACCCAAGTTACTCAATGGGTTGTTGCTAGGCAACCACAGACAGCCAGCCAACCAAGCTTTCCTCACTGAGGTTGAGCTGCTAAAGCAGAATGCTGTGCCGCTGTGTCGAAGTTCAGTGAAGATTCTTTAAATTGAACATTGAATATTCTATCAGATGTATTAGCTATTGATATTGATTGTGTGTCTATATTGTAAATGATTTCTTGTCCAGCCGAAATGAATATATAATCCTTAAGCAAACTGGAGAGAGAACATTTTGATGCAATCACAAATTCTGTGTTATTCTGGGTGAGTGTTTTTATTAAAATTGGTTATATCCTGGCAGAGAACCAGTTTTTCAGTATAGTTAGTTTAAATATGGTTATGATCAGAGGCCTTCAGGAGTGTGATATTAGCCTGCATTACCCAAAATGGCAGTTTTGATGTGTGTTTGGGGTTATTGTGCTGTTTGACCAGTTAAGCGAAGGTAGAGGTAAAGGTTTTGGAAAAAGTCCTCCTTTATCATTTCATCAGCCATGTGCAATTAGGGCTGTGTAATTTTATCAATTACACGATATTGATCAATATTTCATTTCCCCAGGAAGTATCGATTTTCCATCCATGAGTATTGATATATTAAATCCTACTTTGAGTTTTATGTCAAATCCACAAGTTAAATGAGTTATTAAAAATGTCACGTATTAAAACAACCAGTTACAATTAATTAAATAATGAAATGAAATAGATTAATTGCATTATCTAATATAAGTGAATAAGATATGAAAAAGGTTACTTTTCTGCATAACTAAATACACAAAGCCAAACAATTAACAGTTAAACAAAGCAAATGTATAACAAAAACAACATTTATTACACCAATATGACACCATCAGTTCAATTAATTTAATGCAAGTCCATGGAACAATGACAAAATCACTCTGTCCCCCTAAAATCGTTCAGAAAATTGTATAAATGTATCACATCAAGCCGTATTGCTGGTTGAATATCATGATATATATTGTATCATGAGCAGAATATCGCATATTGTATTGTATTGTATCACTACAATGCAATACAGCATAGTATCGCTACAGCCTTATGTGTAATGCACCAGTACTACTGGCAGGAAAACATATCCTCAGCATGATGCTACCACCCTCATGCCTTACAGCGAGATTAGTAAGTTAACCCTTGATTGATTCAAACACTCCGCTTGTTGTAGTGATCAAATAGCATGTCTGACCATGAAAGCTTTTTTGGGTTCACTGGTGAAAGTGACAAATTCAAATTTTATGTTTTTTTTTCTTTTTGTCTTGGCCAGCATGACTTTATTTTGAAAAATCCCACTGCTGTTCCAGCAGCTTGGGCTGTTCTTGGACTTTAATTACCCAATTTTCTTTCATCTGAGGGTGACAGATTAGTGGGACAGCTGGTATTTGGGTGGATAAGCCTGAAATCTGCACATTATAGAAGCTAAACCTGAGGTTTGACCTAGCTGAGCTTTTTTTTTTTTTCTGTCTTTGTCAGCTTGTGAATTAAAGACTTCCTTCGTTCATCATCGGCTGCTTGTCTCAGGGTCCAAACTCTGCTGAGTAACACGGTGATGTCACTGTATTTCTTCTCCATGTTTGGAGACCTGATTGGTCTGGAGGAAAGATTGCGTAAATACTCAGTCTCTCCTGGTGATTATGGGACCTTTCCGCGTAATTATGAGATCTTATCTCATTTCCAAGATCCGTAACTCGTTTCTTTATCTGTAATTATAGTTTCTTTAGTGAAATGCGTTGCACTTCAGCAGAAATGTGCGCTGGTGGTGACATTAAAACACTCCTTAATTTGCGGATCTAAAAATGAGAAAAGTAGACTTTCCCACAACATGGAATCTACAATTCCATGTTGTCTACAATCAGTCTACAATCTACAATCTACAAA